GATCGATGCAGTGGTGGGCGCGTTCTCATGCTTGGTGTCTTTGGCGGGTGCACAGCAGCGTGGTTGCGCCGCGTAGATACCATCGGCACGTTTTTTTCGGGCACGGGCTGTGGGTTGCGCCGACAAGTTTGAAGCCTACAGTGGACGGAATTCGACAAATCTTGGTTCCCTAGATAGCTATTGGAATAGTCTACTGCTATAAACCTTTAGCCTTGGGTGGATGTACGCCGGTCGCGCTGCTCTTCTGTGTGTGCCGATATTTTTTGTCCCGCCGCTTACTTTTTTTTTTTCTGTCGTGCAGCACTGCTGAGATTTTTTTTTTTCTTAATATGACACAACGAGTCCATCTCTATCATAGAAAAGAGTCAGAGACAGATTAACAATGGAATCATAGCGTCAGAGAAAACTACCTGTGTGTCTACGATTTCCCAGACAGCATATAGGGACATCTCCCCTGTGGGTAACAGGCTCAACAAATCAGTTTGGTAGCTGTCTTGTGTGTCTCATATATGTTATGTTGGGAAGGTGCAGACGAAAGGTGTTGGGTACTGTTGGGTAGTCGGGCGTTTTGTGTGTCGCACCCTATTAGTTCTAACACATGCAATCTCCATCAGTTTACAAACATATTCTCAGTTTGGTATGCATATGTGCGGAGTATGTGCGGCTGATGTGCCATCTCTATCATAGAAAAGAGTCAGAGACAGATTAACAATGGAATCATAGGGTCAGAGACAACTACCTGTATGTCTACGATTTCCTAGACAGCATATAGGGACAACTCTCGGGTGACAGGCTCAAAAGATCAGTTTGGTAGCTGTCTTGTGTGTCTCATATATGTTGTCTCATATATGTTGTGAAAGAGATAAGCGGGGAGTTTCTATAAAAATGGTGTCTCCAGAGCGGGGACGACTAGTAACACAAGAGGTCTGCTCTCCTGCTGCATAGGTACACACACGAGCTCAATCTTTCTGGAGCGGGGACACAGGCATCGGGCTCATGACAATCAGGACAGCCGGAAATATGTCCGCTAAACAGCTACATCTACTGCAGATGGGCACGGGTAGTCGTTGTCGGCCGTGGCCCGCGAATCCTTGATGGATTGTAGCGGAAGGTGTGCCATATTGGAATCAATCTTTGATCACGGGGGTGCCACATTGCTTGTTGGTCAGCCCTAGCCCACAAGTTCGAAGCAGTAATCACCGATTGCTAGTTCCGCACTACTGGTAGCCTGTGCAGACAAAGGGTGTGCAGCATTATGTTCCAGCACCAAGAGTGGCGCACAAGGGCGCAGCACGGAAAAAAGCAGCGGCTCCGCTGCTGCTGTTGTGTAGCAGCACATGAACCAACAAGACATCATCCCTTCCACTCGCCGAAGCACCAACTTCGCAGCAGACAAATGAAAGGATATGCTGCGTAAACACGTCTGCACGTGTGTGGGCATAACAGTGTCTCCCCACCTCGTACGAGTCCACCAGCTCCTTGTAGAGAGGCATGTGTTTCTCCTCGGCGAGGATGGCGTTGGCGGGCTCGAGGCCGTACTTGGTCAGCACCGAGTCGGGAACCTCGGCCGAGATGTCCAGCAAGGGGTTGCCCATCCCCACCAGCGTGATCTTGTTGGACTCAGTCATGGTTGTATCTGTCGTCTCAGCCGGCCCTGCTGTACTGATGGTGCTTGCTGTGATGCTGCTATGTGCGCGCTTCGTGCGGCGTGGTTGGGGCAGCTGCTGTGCTGCCTGCTCAGCGATTGGCTGCTGTGAATCGGCTGTGAATAGGGGCTCCGTCAAATCGGGGGAACTTCAAAGCACGTACCCTGCCGTCCTGACGCGGAAGAACCAAGAAACGAACTGGCTGCTCGCTCGTGAAGAGCCAACATCATCACAACCACTATGCGGCAACACCCCACAAATCTCCTGCTGCTGCTGTGCTTCGCCCCTCCCCTCCTCGACTCTACGTCAACATGATGAGCGAACAACGGTCCGCGCCGGCGCTGGTCGACGTCAAGACCCTAGTCGTGAGTTTCGCCAGCGACTTTTTCGCCGGTGGGGTCGCCAGCGGCTTCACCAAATCTGCGATGGCGCCGATTGAGAGGTGCGAAAGGGGAGCGGCGGAGCGTTGTCAGAACAGATCGAAAATTGCGCAGCGGGGATGTGATGTTCGTCCACCGAGTGACTTCGCTGCTGAGCCCACCGGTGCATATGTAGATGTTGGGAGCCGGCCTTCCTTGACGTCTTGGCTCCAGGCTTCGTTCGTGTGAGGCACACAATGTACTCTGTCAGCCACGTCGCGACTTCAATATAAGATCCCCTCAGCAGGCAGGACCCAGCCAGCAGAACTCGCGGCCGTTTGGGTCGAACTGGTGATGTAGAAAATCTGTCCTCTCTGCAGCAGCTTCGGGTCGGGCGATGACAACGCCGCTGGGGCTCATGCTGTGGTTTGCGGACTGACGGCTACAGCCTGGCCTTTGCGTTGGCGTACCGAAAATGACGAACTACCGCAGGGGTAGACAGCAGATGGTGGTATCTTTCCATCCTCTCATGCCGAGACCACGTGCAAGCCAAAATTTTGAACTGAGTTCTAGAGTTCTGTCCTGTTCCGTCGGGGTGACGGGGGTGACGTCATACCTGACATGAACGAACAGCTGGCGCTCTGGCTGCTAATCATCTGACCAGTGCCACATATCCCAGGGGGGGGGGATATTTCTCTCTCACGCCAGTGTTACAGCACCAGACAAGATTGAACAGCAAAATTATTATTATTCGCGACAAGAGACGAGCAGATGTTGTATTGCTTGGTTCCGCCCCTTCAACATGCACTATATTTTTTCTTTGTAGAACAGACGACGTCGACTATTGTTATGGTCACCGGAATAAAGGGGTCCAGGCTTCGGCATGAAAAAGGCGATTCACGATGCTGACACACGAGAAGCCACGATCGTGATGCTGCTGCTGTATCGAATGTCATCGTACAATAGACTGCGGTATCTTGGCGAACACAACATCTCCATTTTCGTACCTACACAAGACGGGGGGAGATCACACCGACCGGCTTTCCGTTGGGGATAAGGTTGGAAGTCTTGGCAGGGATGACGTTCTGGTTCTAACCCCTACCCTCCGGTGCCTCCTCCTCCTATATCTCTTCATAGCAGCAACAGGCGGAAACACAAAGTCTCCTCTGCCGAAAAAAAAATAAAAACAGCCTGTTGAGGAAGTAGTAAGAACAAGAGACGCTCGCGGCGCACAACAGGGTTCGGGTCCCGATAGAGTGATTTTTTTCTCACTATTAATATATCCTGGTCTCCGTTGGAAGCGACGCGCTGCAAAGCGCGTTGTTAGTAGACTTGATCGACTTCATAGGTCACGAGGGAAGGGATTGCTGTACACTTCTCGTGATAATAATATCTCAGGCAGGAACCGCAGAAGGGGGTCCAACCCCCCCCTCCTATGTGACCCCGGTTGGGTCGTCTAGCTAGTAGAAGTGGAGGATAGGGGCCAGAGGGGCAGACGACAAAATCCAATGATAGGAAAAAAAAAAAAACAAGAGCAAGGAAAAGCCCCAACGCACCCCGCACCCAGAGCGACGCATTTCTCCACTCCGAGGCTTGATTCTTGTTCATGTTGTTGAGCGGGGGGGCGCGGGGAGGGCAGATGGTGCAACCCGCAGGGAGATACACAAACGCGCCCAGAGATACAAGAGAGAAGCTCGCACGATGACATGACGTGGCCGAAGTGGTCCAGGAAGGAACACAAAGGTGTCCGGCGCGCCCGCGACGCGTATTATCGTGTGTCACCCACGTGCGACGCAGAGAGTACCTGACACCCTACCTCGCTGGTATTTAAGCTCTCTCTCTCTTTCGCCCCAAGTTTGCGCTCATATGGCCGTCGAATGAAATGTGCATGAAGCATTCCTCCACCATGCGGCGGGTATTCTCGACGAACTCAGCGCGGCTTATTCTCGACGAACTCATCGCGGCTTGGCCAGAGGCAGTTAGTTAGAGTCCATCACGTTCTTACCCTATGGGGCGCCGTCTCTCTCGGTCGGTTGATTGTTAGATTCATGGTTGCAGATGGCACATGAAAGATGATTTGTGCCTCTACCAAGTAAATGTCTCGAATTTTTCTCTCTTTGCATCAGCTCTATTTTGCTGCATCGGTGATTGCCTTACTACGTGGTCTCATCAGACTGGAGTATCTACACTGCTGTGTTTGTTTTCCGTCTACCATGCAAGGAACTCGTGCTCGTGTCTGTATTTAGCGGGCCAAAAGAATGCCACCATTGATGTAGATAAACATGAGAGACATCCACCCTTAGGACCCTTCCGTATCATACAGATTGGCGAGAACCCCCAATCCCCTCCATAACTCGAGGGGTGGAGCGGCCACGATATTCAAGACCGAAGGCGATTATTTCCAGCATGTTTTCTCCCCATTGCGTCGACCTTGACCTTTGCTGCAAACCTATGCCGCCGCCTTCATAATGTCGACACGACGCCAGGGCGAAACTGCTCCTTCAAGTGCAGTGGGTCCACACCGACATTCCGCCAGAGCGCCGCTACAACAGCCTGTCCGACTGCATCCGCAGGGTGTACAAGGAGCAGGTACGGCGGCTAACCAAACTGACCATCGGGCGGAACGGTCGTTGTTGATGCCGTTTCGGGGGGGCATTGTGTGCCTCTTGTGTCTATTGGAAAGTTGGTTGCGACTATGTGCTGACTGCGGCTTGGGTGGACGACCTTCTGATGGAAGTGCAGGTTTTGCTCGTGCGGTGAAGGACTTGGTCTTGAGTTCCTTCGTCCCTGGTGCTTGTGTTATTTTTTCGTTTTTTTTTTCGAAAGAGTTTCTCCGCCAACGCTTACGCACGCACAGCCATGCCTACGAAGCAGCAAGATCTACGTTCCTTTGAAATGACACTCGCTCGCTGTGCCGCGTAGCCCCACCTTCTCCAAAACTCTAGAAGATCGTCCTCGTATCAGTCAGACCCTTGCGCTCTGCGTGTCTGGCTGGATTTCACAAATTCTAGACCTTGGAGAGCTATTATACCTTAGTATGGGCGCCTGAAAGCGCTCCGTGAAAACATCTGCAAACAAGTGTGCGTACTATTATGCCTCGTTCCCTCGATATGTTCAGTCGAATGAATGCGTCGTTTGCCTTTCTTCGAGGGAATTTGTCGCACCCTGCTCTTGTCTGTACTATCGCGCGATCGCTGCGTTCTGCCGTGGCTGATGTTCAACGCACTGGTTTGTGTGTTTCTTGTTCGTGTTCGATCCTGTTCGATGATCCGGCGAAAGGGTCTGCTATCGTTCTGGAGAGGCAACACCGTCAACATCGCGCGGCATATCCCATCTCAGGCACTCAACTTCTCCCTCAGGGACAGGTGCGACCGTCCTTCTCATGCCTCGTACCACAAAGATTGCAACTTCTTCTCTCCTTGCTCGGTGCCACCGCGGGAGTCACGTGGATGATGTATTCCGGAACCGTGAACCTCCTCGGAACCCTTGAATTGCGTCAAATACGTGATGCTCCTTCCTCTCGAGGACGAAGGACGCGTGGTCAATGATCTAATCGCGAAGGAATGCGATGCAAAACACGAGTACCCCCCCCCCCCCCCACCCCCCCCAATCTAGACTTAAGTGGGTTGGCGCTGTTGGTAAAGCGCTGTAAAACACGCCACCCCAAACATAGCCCCCATAGTATGCGCTACCAAAGACGCGTGACGCATGGATGCGTGGAGTGAGGATTGCTTACGGAAACCTCACAGGTTGAGTGATGTAGGAGATTGCCGGACACATAGACGGGTTGAGTGATTATCGCTGTATACTGAAACCCCAAGGGTTGAGTGAGGTTTGAGATTGCCAAACACATGGGCGGGTTGAGTGGGGATAGCTGCATACTGAAACCCCACGGGTTGAGTGATGTTGGAGTGCCGGACACATAGACGCGTTGAATGAGGATAGACATTATTGAACCTCACAGGCGATTTGTATTGGGGATTGCGAGACACCTAGACGTGTTGAGTGAGGATAGCTGCATACTGAAACCTCACAGATGGATTGGTTTTTGAGTTTGCCGGACACATAGACGCTTTGAGTGGGGACAGCTGCATACTGAAACCTCACAGACTGTTTTTTGAGTTTGCCAGACACATAGACGCGCTGAATGAGGATCGACACATACTGAAACCTCACAGGTGATTTGTATTGGAGATTGCCGGACACATAGACGTGTTGAGTGAGGATAGCTGCATACTGAAACCTCACAGATGGATTGGTTTTTGAGTTTGCCAGACACATAGACGCGCTGAGTGGGGATAGCTACATACTGAAACCTCACGAGTTGAGTGATGTTGGATAGTGCCGGACACATAGACGCTTTGAGTGAGGAAAGACACATACTGAAACCTCACAGGTAATTCGTATTGGAGATTGCCAGACACATACGCGCTGCGTGGGGATAGCTGCATACTGAAACCTCACGAGTTAAGTGATGTTGGAAGGTGCCGGACACATAGACGCTTTGAGTGAGGAAAGACACATCCTGAAACCTCACAGGTTGATTTGTATTGGAGATTGCCGGACACATAGACGTGTTGAGTGAGGATAGCTGCATACTGAAACCTCACAGATGGATTGGTTTTTGAGTTTGCCAGACACATAGACGCTTTGAGTGGGGATAGCTACATACTGAAACCTCACAGATGGATTGGTTTTTGAGTTTGCCAGACACATAGACGCTTTGAGTGGGGATAGCTACATACTGAAACCTACGAGTTGAGTGATGTTGGATAGTGCCGGACACATACATAGACGCGTTGAGTAGGGAAAGACACATACTGAAACCTCACAGGTTGATTTGTATTGGAGATTGCCGGACA